CATGGCATGGTCGGTGAGGTAGAGGGTCGCCGTGCATATCTTGATGGTCTCATCTATCATGCCCGTAGCCTCAAAGTATTGTTCCATGCTAAAGAGGAAGTTCTCCAACTCCCTCGCTACCCGATTCCCACCATAGCACTTAGGCTTGGGAATATCAACCCGGGGTGCTACTACCCCCGTAGTAGCTATGCCGAACGCCACCGCCCATTTGCACAATGCCCAATCCGCTCCCATTTCCTCCATTTGCTCAAGGAAAGTGCCAAATTCCTGATCAACATAGCCACGTAGGGTGGCAAACTCACCCAATATAAGTTCTCGAAGTGCTTAGAGCTCCTGCCGAAAGTCACCACTTAGGGTATTGAGTGACCATTTGACAGCATTCTGGACCTCAGCGTCCTCCGACTCCAGCCCATCCATGCGCTGGTGAGCATCCTCGAGCTGCTCCAACACGTTGGCTATAGACCCCTCCATGTTTGCCACACGTGCCTTTAAGTTCACCATGATGTCCTTCGACCTAGCCCTTGTCCTCATGCCGACTGGAGGGAGATTTGCATCCCTTCCATGTAGCTCATCCTCTTGGGTGTTAGTCACGTCTGATAGCTCCGCCATAGTTTCCTCCACACAAGGTGTGACGCCTCACTACCTTAGCTCTGATACCAACTGTCACGGACTTGGACCTTTCCAAGCTCATATGCGGCCTTAGACACTTTCAAGCCCCCTTGAAGCGCTAAGTCAATCTACCTGAGTGTGCTAGCTTAGTGACGACTAAGGCTAGACAAGTGCTTTGCTTACTTGGGTGTGTAGGAAGAGATTATGCAAGTGAACAAGAGAGTTTGAGAATGTATGGACACTTGTATTACTTGAGAGGAGATTACAACTTAGGTTGCTTGGTGAGGAGCAAATGAACTCCCACCTCCTATTTATAGGCCTTTGGCCTTACAAGAACATTCTAGATGTGTACAAATGTGTGGCCTAGAATAAGTGTCTAGAATCCTCCAAAGATATATCTACACAATTCTAGAACTATTTACAATGTACAAGACAAGTCTAGAGAATTCTAAAGAATTTTATATAACTCTAGACAAGTCTAGAAAAGGTTAGACAACTCCACTGTGACACCCCCAACATTTTTCACGCATAAGTTGATCAGGCTTATACACGAAAAACGAGGGATATCAAAAACAATTGGCAATATACAAGCATGGAATACAAAATGATGGTAATAAAAGAATTTAGACAGGAAAGGAACACTAAATAATACAACATCCATCCATCCTTTATTTAATACAGTACTCCATTACAACTTGGAAATCCTATGTCAAAGATCCCTAAATATAAACCGGAGAGTTCAACGTCAAAAGTAAATAAAAACTGAAACTGAAGTAATACATAAAACTTCTACCCTGAACTGGATCATAAGAGTAGATGAGTTCGGATGGTGGTCCCTCACTGCTAACCTCAACCTTGGAACGGGTATTGACCGTATCCTGAAATAACAACAATGGTGGGTCAACCCCACGAGCAAGTCCTCTCTACTATGACCCAAATCAGAGAATCAAATAAATTAATCCTTTATATCCGGATGAGTACTATATCTGTATACATCCTAAGGGAACTATCCAATGTATAACATGACCTCAACCAGAATAGACGATGATCACTTAGACTCACACTAGGTGGTTAAGTGTCACCTTTCCCTACCCGGGAAATCAGCTATTATACATGGTGCACGTTACTGACAACACAGACTGTAAAGACCACACAGTAATAACGCATCTCAATGTACTAATGAGTTATTGAGCATAACAATTAGGCAATACATGCCAATAATAATACTAAATATACTGAGTATGTTAATTAGGCAACACATGCCAATAATATGAATAAATATACTAAGTATACCAATTAGGCAACACATGCCAATAATATTAAACCACATACCCCGACAGCCACACATCTGTCTATAGCAACGAATGCATAAGGTATAAATGAGTCTAAACTTATTAGCCAGCTCACATGGTTCTATATGGCAACACATCCATATAATATAAATGCGACATAATAAACAGTCCATTTATTCCCTGAAATGCACACAGCATAATAATCATGGTTTATATATGATTAACAGTATAAATATTCCATAATATATAATGGATCATTTATATGAATAAAACCAAGCACTAATTAATTTAACATTAATGGTTATTACAGTTTAATAAAATAATAATACCATTAATAGTCGTTAAATTAATTACATACGTTTACTAGCGATTCGCACTTTAACTGATACAATTAATATTTAGAAATATTAATCGGACAATTATAATAGTTAACGAGAATTAAAATAATAATATAATGTCCCGTTAATTCCAAAAATGCCAACCCGAGGCCCCAAAATGTATAGTGAAGGTCCTGGTAATGACAAAACAGTCCCTAGGGGTATTCTGGACTTTTCCAGCAGCTGCAGAGGCCCTTCACGCGCCCCCACGCGCCTCCCAGAGCTCCCCACACGCGCCGCCAAGCTTTCCCACGCGTGCACGCGCTCCTACGCGCCGCCACGCGCGCGCACGCGCTCCCACGCGCCCACTAAGCCCCCCTGATGACGTGGCTCGTCCTGGTTCGCTGGCTGCATCATCCTGCTATGGGCGCGCTACACTGAATCATCTCACCCTATCTTCACTCAATCCAACGCTCATAGATCCGGGTGTACCGCGGTAACATGGACCGCGGTGCACCGGATCAATCGCTCCTGTTAATGGCCCAGATGCGCGCGCATACCTTCCTATGGTGCGCTGCATCACACCGGATCACTCCGGTCATCTCCCCCATTGCCGGCGACCGGAAAACTCGCCGGAAGGTCGCCGGAAATTACAGAAAAGCCCCGGAAAAATCTAGAAAATTCTAGAAAAATCCCTAAAGCCTTATTTAATTATTTTCAGCCATTATTAATTTCATAGGATATTAAATAAATATATACCATCCTATATAATTAAAATTTCATTAGTTTAATAAACTAAAATTAATAATTTATTAACCTCATAACCTGGTCTCTATGTATGAAAATAAACTAAACAATTAATTTATTAATTCAAAGGGGAAAAGTAGATAATAACTTGCCTTTTTGGATTTAAAATAAATCCGCCGGTTGCGCGTAGTCGGGTAAATTTCTCCTACACCGGTCCAAGCTCCTTTCTTTCTCTCTCTTCCTTTCCACACTTTTACAATGGCTCACTAAAAATTATAACTTTTTCTAACTCCCTTCCATTCCTTCTAATGTAGGCTAGCTAATTTATATACAATTTATATAATATAAATATTACAAATATCTAATTTTGCATTTAATTAACCACATTCCCAACCATATGGCTTCAAGTCTTACCCATAAACATTAATGAAATCCTATCCTAATCTCTAATTTCATCATGACTTATGATTTAATACTATTATTATTATTATAATTATAATAATAATTATTATTATATTATTATTAATAAACTTTTATAATTATTATTATTATATTATTATTATTATTACATAAGTATACATTATATCATCATAATACTTTATAACACAAATATAATACTTTGATTAACTAATAATGCTTAATATAAACATAACCAACAAATAAAAATTATTAATAATAATACATGCACAATTAAATGAATAAATTTACTATTTTAACATACACAATTAATTTACATGCACCATTAAATGAACTTTATATAATAATGTAGCATGCACAATAATAGGTAAAGAAATCCACACATAAATGAATTTAAATAAACTAAACTCTTTAATAAAATACGGGTATTACATCCACACTAATCTAGAGAATTCCGGGAAGTTCCATACTTGTGTAGAGAAGTCTAGAAAGCTCCGGTCCATGAAGGCTCTATGTCATCGTTTGCTGGGCGCCTGCGTGGCGTAGCCTCTTGGTTGCGGGGTGTGACAATACGCTAGTTAAATTTCATCATGCTACTCCATCTGTCTCATATTAGATGTTTAAGTTTAGAAATTGGTGTTTTTAAGGGGATATGCAATTAATGTATTATCCCTTTTTAAAATTATTAACTTGTCCTTTTTAGTTTAGATATGTATAGTTACCAAGTTTGAAATTTTTTAAAAATATAAAGGACAATGATGGAAAGATAAGTTTATTTGTTTTGACTTTTCAAAGTGAACAATTAATTTAGAACGTATAAAAATGAGATAATTGACTACTAATATGGAACCGTGGTTGTATAAGCCAATTAATTAAGTTTATATATATATATATATATATATATATATATATATATATATTTCTAGATATCATAATATATGTCTGTGTATATATTATTTATATATATGTTCAGAACACTCACACACATCACAAAGTTCTTGGATAATGGGTGTGTAAAAAACACACTCACAGACGCTTGAACTGCTAACTTCTCTTGGCTGCGAGCTAGCCAACGGCTTGGTGGTAAACAAGGAGTATGTCGTCACGATTTTTGAACACTTGGCTTCAGCACCTAAGCTTCATATTATTAATTATTAATTTTGACATAAAAATCTTTACCTTTTGTGCTGAGTTGACATGCCTAGATGAGTTTTTTTTTTAAGCTATGGAGGACACAGGGGCTACTGGTATATATGACGAGAAACTCCAGTCACCTTGAGAAATTACTTTTATATCTCTACCTAATTTGTATCATTCGATTAATCATCATCGAGTAATTACTGTAGCTATGCTTCATAAAATGGATCTAATTAGGTCCTCTGTTGGTTAGAGCAATTCAAAATTATACTCTTGAGTCTTGATTCTTGAATGATCCATATTTTTAATGAGTTTGAAATATTTCAATTTGTACTTTCAGATCACACTCTACAAAGTTGGTTATCTTTCGAATAAAGTGAGCAACACCAAGTCTTGTTTAAAAGGGCTTTGTTGGTTTAAAGACTTGTACTTTATATGAGTGAAAGTTGAATAAGACAACACATACTTTCTATTAGTGCAAGTTGAATAACAAAACATGGAATAACTTGTTAATTATGTTGTCACAAACAAGCATCAGCAACTGGGAATATTATTAATTCGCTTCTACAAATAAAATTCCTCAGAAAACCGACCCAAATTCCACTCCATTTTATGCAATTAATCACATAATGGAGCAACTGGGGTCTTGGTAGGGTGGGTATTGGGCGCAAGAGGTCCAAATCACGGGAGGATACACAACCGCCTCATTTTTGGTCTCTTTCTTCTCCTCTTCTTTCTTATTTTCGGCGACACTTACGAGCTCGGCATAGCCTATTGTCACGAAGTGATTCCTAAGACGCTTGGAGGATGGAAGACATGCATGCTGGTTGGCAAAGAGCAGAGTTTGACTGGGAATGGTTCCAGGGAAGGGGCGTGCAGGAGCACAGGATGGTACCTCTTCAGAGTTCAGGCAGGTCGACTCGGTTCAGTTCGAGGTGCTTGTCGCTGGTCGTGGACTTGACTATGAAGAAGGGAGTTGGCCATCCCTGCACAAACTGGTCGGGAGCTGGAGCCGTTCCCCTGACGAGGCCATGGCAGGCCGAAACCAGTCAGCACGTATCCTTGGGAGGGCAGGTCGTGGTGGCTGACTAGGGCGCTTGCGCGAGCTGAAGCAACGCCTTGGTGCCGTACGGGCCGTGCCGTTGCGCCAAATCTCTAGGCCCATGACAAATGGTATCAGAGCAGGACTTGGGGTAAAGCACGGTGGGGTGCCCCCTTGTCGGTCTGGGAGAGGTCAGAGAATGAAGACGGTGCATTGAAATTGCGTCGATGAGGAGGAATCAATGCAGTTGGGGGGAGAGCCTCCATCTCCCCAGGAAGAGGTGTCCGTTAAAGTTGCGCATTGAAGGGTCGGAGGGCCGCGCGCGCCAAAGTTCGTGCTTAGTCCTTGGGTGATGCAAACCATGGTGAAGGGCGAGTATCAAGTCGGCAGGAGGCCATTGCTTGCTCGGGATGTCGCGGAGGCGGTATGACGAAGAAGAGTCACGTCCTTGAGGAGTGGACGTCCCCTTGGTCCGAGGCCTATCATTGAGCGAGTGCAGTGCAGGGAGCTGCACAAGGAAGCGATGGTGGAAAGGCGAGCATACCGCATGGAGGCAGACTTTGGAATGGAGTTGACGCAGTAGTGAAGCGATGCACTGCGACGAGGACGTCGCAGGATTTAGGTGGGGGAGAATGTCACGAAGTGATTCCTAAGACGCTTGGAGGATGGAAGACACGCATGCTGGTTGGCAAAGAGCAGAGTTTGACTGGGAATGGCTCCAGGGAAGGGGCGTGCAGGAGCACAGGATGGTACCTCTTCAGAGTTCAGGCAGGTCGACTCGGTTCAGTTCGAGGTGCTTGTCGCTGGTCGTGGACTTGACTATGAAGAAGGGAGTTGGCCATCCCTGCACAAACTGGTCGGGAGCTGGAGCCGTTCCCCTGACGAGGCCATGGCAGGCCGAAACCAGTCAGCATGTATCCTTGGGAGGGCAGGTCGTGGTGGCTGACTAGGGCGCTTGCGCGAGCTGAAGCAACGCCTTGGTGCCGCACGGGCCGTGCCGCTGCGCCAAATCTCTAGGCCCGTGACACTATACCCTTTCTCAGTGCCGTCGTCAGCACAACCGCATCCACCTCATCTCCGGTTACCACTATATCGTTCTTGTCCGCACCCTGTAAAGCCGCTGACTCCACTCCTGCACAACATACATATAAAAATATTGATTACATACAAATTAAAGCTATCCAGTTTCATCAACCTAGCTACATATATGTACATGTGTCCTTGAAGATGAAAAGTTTTGTTACCTGAAATACCGACTGCAATCTTGAGGGCTTTGGAGCGACGCTTCTGGTCATTTATTTGCAGTTTAATCACCATCTTTTGCTGCAACCAAATACACAAATTCAACTTAGGATATATATAAATATATATATTTATATAATTCTTTGCAACTGCATGCAGAAATGATATAATAGCAATTTCCTACGTGATCAAATCAAATTACCTTCATCTTCTTTGTTTGGTGAATATGATGGATTAGTAGTAGTCTGAGACACATAGTATATGGGGTATAGTTTGGGAAACCTTGTGAAAGGGTTCTTGAAGAGGGTGTTGTTGGTCATGAATGGTGGTAATACCGTGCAAGGCAGGTCCTCTATTTATAGGACAACTTGGCTCATTTCTAATTATTACCTCATTTTGGGGGAGATAAAGAGTAATCAAATTAAGGATCGTGTCAAACATATGGCCAAATTGATGTTACAACTACCCATTTAGTATCAACAAAATTTGGTCCCGTATGTAATCTTCCATGCAACGTCCCGGAAGGAGACACACCATACAAAGACAAAAACAACGCTGCAAAATTTAGTTGATATAATGGAATTTATTATGTTGAGTCTATTTGAGTAGGGCAGGGGTTGAGCGGATTGGAGGTATTATTTGAGCCTAACTCAATATATGAAATATTCAATTCGAGTTTAACCTTAGTTCTACCTTCAACCCTAATTATTCAACTCAAATCGAATTCATTTTTGTACTTTTAAACTTGGATTTGCAATTCGGACTTAAATTACATGTTAGAAAGTCGGGTTAATTTGGGTTATTAATATGGTCAGTTTTCACCGTAAAAATTTAATGTGATTTTGAATTAGTTTTTGATTAAATTACTCTTAAAAAAAATAACTTATTGTAAATTTTTAATAAATTAGAAACAAATTCTTATAAATTAAATCTCTTAAATGTTAATATACAATAAATTAAGATTTAACAAAGAAAGTTGAAAAAAAAAAAAAAATTTGATCATAATTTGAACATTGTATATAATGTATTTTAAATAAAAAATGTGTATATAAATAATATTAGAATTCAAGTCCAAACTTATTAAGTCTGTTGCAAATTTTCAATCGGATCTCAACCTTAATTATAAAAATAACTGTTCAAGCCGTAAAAAATTGGACTAGACGAGTTAAATCCGCATTGCCCAACCCACCGAGTTGCGCCCTTAATCTTGAGACACTCTCATTGGAGCTTGCCTTCTTATTTAACGAGGTGACAGATATTTCATTGAACGATTATTATGAGTTATCAAGTTTAGTGGAACACTTTGTACAATTAGTCAAATTTATGAGTCAAAATAATCTTGATGAGATGACATAAGTAAGTCCATTGATATATATTTTTTTCCTTTTTTCATGTTTATTTAATAGAGTTTAATTGACAATAAAAATAATATATATATATATATACACATATATGCATATATATTATTGAACGAGAATGACAATCTTCTAGTGCTCACTGCTCAACCATACGAGTGAAACGTTGATAAATCTCCAGTCAAGCCAAGTATTAAACAAAAAACATAGACAAGGATTTGGTGTTTGTATGCATATAGTTTTAAGAGCCTCTTGGTTTCGGTTCAATTAAATAGTTTCACTACACGCGGAGAGAGACAGAAATTAAGTGGACATTTCTTTAATTTGGACCCACTCCTGGAGAAACGTCTTCTATGAGTTGCGTGGGACAAGTCACGTTAAATTAAAGTACAATTATTGAATTAGTGAGCTTGACTCGTTAAAGTCAGCCAATGTGATTAAGGTCTTGAGTCATTGTTTATCAATAATATTAAGAGTATGTTTACATCAATCACAGTTCAGGACCTCGTGGGTGTACCGTTAAGTCATAATTTTTAAAAAAGGACATTTAGTTTTAGATGGAGGGAATATTTTTTATATGAGATTCAACCTACACCCAAACATTACAATGATTAATACCTCATAAATTTAGTAAGATAAATCTGAAGATTATTATCTTAATTGAAAAGTTAATATAATATTATCATTTTAATCTTCTTAGATTGAATTTATAGAAATAATTCATTATCTTTTTATGGACTCATTACGAGTAAATTTAATAATTCATTCACTATCAATATAATAATAATAATAATAATAATAATATTTATTATGAGACTTGAGTACAACCTACTTGATAATTGGGCTAATAGGACAACATAGGTGTTTAAGTTTCTTGTTCGAAAAAAGGAAAAAAAAAAAAACGTAGGGAAATTGACAAATTTGAATGCCTAAATAATTATTCTTTTGATTTTGATTTTTGTTTCTGTTTTGTTTTGTTTTGTTTTTTTGTTTTAAATGAGTTTTCATTCACCAAAGGGAGGAGAGAGAGACGAAAAAAAGGACATCTCTGGTAATGGCTTCTTTTGAATCTGAACTAAAACTTGCTTTCACTTTTGACTTTTACCTCCTCCTTTACATTTTAAAAAAAATACTAATATTTATCTTTTTACGTATGAAAGAATAATTTTTTTCTCAGTTTGTCATGATATTATTGCTCACATGTCTATTTATAATATTGAAAATAAATCAATTATTTAGATGCATATAATATATATATGTGTGTGTGTTTGATGTTAATTTTATTTAGGAAAAATATATTAATTTTTATTTTTTTGCAAATTATTCATGAGTATAATGATAGATATGCAATTCTCAGTTATTCTTTTTTCTTTAATTTTTTTACTCACCCAAATAATATGAAGTACTTTTTTACACGTGTGGAGGCGTATTGCTTATTGTAAATTTTGATAGTGATTTTTGTGATACCCTCGAATTTCCGAATGCGGGTTGGCCAAGCCCACACCCGAATACCCGAGGATATCAAAACAAATTGATAATAAACGAACACAGAGTACAAAAGAATAAAGAAGAATAAATAAAATGCTGACAAGAAATTAAAATGATAATCTAATAATAAACATCATAATATATTTCCATTAATTAATAAACTCTTCTGATACAACTGATCCTCCAAAATACAACTCGGGAATCCATACTGTGTGGACCCCTAGAAAATCCAAACTAAACAAATGACAATAATCTAAAATAGGAAACTGAATCATAAAGGAACTCCTATGTAGCATCGGAAGAATGAAGTAGACTGATCCTCGCTTAGCACGAACAACCTCTACTCCTGACGAACACCTGAAAAATAATGGTGGGTCAGGCCCACAAACAAGTTCTACTTTACTACAATCCAAGCAGAGATCCGATACACGTATACATCCTAATCAATCCAATAGTAACTAGTAGTCCGTATATATATATACACACACTAAAGTAACCTCACTAGACTATAGGGTTGTCTCAACCTGAATAGTAGGTAACATGCAAAACGCACATATAGTGGACATGAGTACCTAGACTTACCAGGGTACACAACTACACTATATCTAGCTACACATCCCTGGCGATATACGCGCCCTAACCACTGATCCTGAGACTCAAACTCATATTATGGCACCATACTTATATATATATAATCTAGTAACCATCCTATCCAGTATAAATTAATCTGCCATAAGTCATTCAACTTGTTCAGCTGACCTCACTTGAATATAAATAGGACTTAACTTTTTAGTTAATCCATTCCCTTATATAATAAATTAATCCTCCATAAGTCATTCAACTTGTTCAGCTGACCTGACTTAAATATAAGTAGGACTTAACATTTTAGTTAATCCATTCCCTTATAAAAAATAGGTAGGACTTAACTGATAAGTTAATCTATCCCTATAATGCCACCGTCCCATACCGGTACATTAAACCACACAATCCAACAATTAATATAACAATTAAGGAAATACATCAAATATTCCATAAATAACTATGATAAATATGATATCAAGTTATCACATAATAATAGGAATGACTTATTATTTCTTTAAACTTCCTATATCATATGTCCTACACAAACTGAATCTTATACATGATAATATTTTATTATACCGTTAAATAAGGATTCTCTATATCCAATTCATCCTACATATTTAATCTCAATTGTTAAAATATTTTAAAAGATTAAATCCATTCGTTTGTTTAAAACATTCAAATAGCAAGTATCATTATGATTGAGTCTATTTAAATTTATTAAAACCCAAACCTAGTCCCTATTTAATGTTCAGGAATCCTAGGCATGTTTCTACGTTCCATCATTTCACAAATATGAAAAATACATAATTTAAACATGTAAAAATTCACATAAGAAATCAAATCAAAATCATGTATTTTATCAATTCATAACACAAGAACAGATATGAACCAATTTCATAAAACCTATGTTCTAATCCAATTAAACATGCATAATTATTTAATTTTATGTGTTTAATAAATCCTGGAATTTCCTAGGCATGTACAAAAACATGAATCAAAGGGGAAGAGATAGAAGAAGAACTTGCCTTAAACTTTCGGATCGAAAGTTAAACTTCTTCTTCCTTAATCTTCTCTCTATAGGGTTTTTTTCCTCATTCCTTCCTTTTCCTCCTTCCCTCTCTAACACTATCTCTTTAGTATATATCATGTGAATATTTCTAACCCCCTTTTACAACCTATAGCTATATATTTATAAGTTAAATAAAATAACCATAACCCTTTTCCCAATCCAAGTCAACTAAAAAAAAAATGAAAATAAAAATATTAAAAAGGTAAGCAAAATATGTTACGTATATAATTTATGTATATATTTATTAAATAAATAAATTATACACATTCCATTATTTATTAATAGATTATCCAATAATACTTAAGTTACCATAATATTATAAATTAACTTAAAACATAACACGTATCAAATCTATGTATATTTTTATTATTTAAATATAAAGCATATATATCAGATTAAATATTACTACCCAAGTTACCATATAAGTAATTAACAAATTACTTTCCCTTTTATATATATATTAAAAAGGTAAGTAAAATATGTTACGTATATAATTTATGTATATGTTTATTAAATAAATAAATTATACACATTCCATTATTTATTAATGGATTATCCAATAATACTTAAGTTACCATAATATTATAAAGTAAGTTAAAACATAACACGTCTCAAATCTATGTATATTTTTATTATTTAAATATAAAACATATACATCAAATTAAATATTACTATCCAAGTTACCATAAAAGTAATTAATAAATTACTTTCTTTTTTATATATGTATATAATATATATCTATATATATACATATATAACTATTCATGGGTAATAATCCGTACACATCCAACCTCATATCCAAGTAGTTCATGGGACCCAATTGGTTGTCCCATTACTACTAACCATAATCATAAAAGAAAAATAAAATAAAATAATAAAAGAAAAGAAAACATTTAATTTACAATTAATCAAAATAGCATTTAAGCACATAACCTAATTAAACAATGAACATATAGACAAATACAAATAATATATAGACACATAATCAAATAATCAAGTAATACCTAATTCAATTAAACATATAAGCAATTAGTCAAATAATTAATTAAATAATGAAAAAATACAATTAAAACAAATAAATAAATACCGAGACTATCCTTTTAAAATTAGGAGTATTACAATTTTCAACATTATGTGTAGACTATAAATTAATGTAAATGTGTTAAAAAATGACTGTATTGAAAAACCGATATAATATGTCAAAAAAATGTACTGCCTAGGTGTAACAAGGGTCATTTGTCCCACATCGGAATCGGATAGGAAAGTGATTTGGTATAATTGGGTGGGTATGCACCACTACCCAATAGTTCGAGCTTTTGGGTAAATGGGCAAGCGCCCACCCGTTACAGTTGGTATCAGAGCCAGACCCAGTCCTTAATCAGGTGTCAAGCCAAGCACCTGGCCCGGAAGGCGTCCAGGCTAGCATCCCGGGTAGGCAGGGTGGCCCGAATCGCAATGAGGGCGTTGCGAGTTTGGGTGGGGGAGAATGTAATAAGGGTTATTTGTCCCACATCGGAATCGAATGGGAAAGTGATTGGGTATAAATGGGTAGGTATGCAGTACTACCTAATAGTTCGAACTTTTGAGTAAATGGGTAAGCGCCCACCCGTTACATTAGGATAGAACTCCAGGTCTTTCCAGCTTCTCTTTTTATATTAGAAATATATACATAAGTATATATATATGGTTTTCTTGGAAGTTTATCGAAGTAATGTCATCTTCAATTTGTCAAGTCTTCAAGCCCACCAGAAGAGACCAACCGCGTATGGACCACGGTCGAGTCCGTCAGAAGGATATATATATATATATATATATATATATATATAAATATAAACGTCCTCATAGGGGAAGACTGAACCGCAGTGTGAAACCGCGGTTTTATTTTCTCCTTCTAACGGACTCGACCGTGGTCCATACGAGGTTGGTCTCTTCTGGTGGGCTTGAAGACTTGACAAATTGAAAATGACATTACTTCGATAAACTTCCAAGAAAACCACTTTATTTTCTTTCATGAAAAAAAATAAATTGATAAACATAGTACTAATACTTTCCACGGATGGACCCACCAACTTTTATTTATTTATTCCTCCTTGCAAACAAACAACAATAAAGAATTCACAGTCATCGTGGCCCCATTTCAACTTGCAAACAAACAACAATAAAAAATTTAAAAATTATTACTCTCTTATATTCTGTGTGGTCATTTTGTAGCCAAACATTTTAGAATGTCTGTGTGACTTTATACTGCCTGCTCGAGTTGTTATGATCTCTCACCAAATTAAATGAGAAAGGGATACTAAGACAAGAAACAGAACATAAGACAAGACACATTTAACCAAAAACCAACCAAGACCAAACAACCCAATTAAAAGTGGACAATACCCGTAGGATTTACACCATCTCACTCCATATGTCATAACAAGATTATACCACACGTGGTGAAAATGATGTATATCTTCCTTTAAAAATTCGTATAATTACGTTCGTCTAAAAATCATAAGGACTATATTTTCCGGTACGAGAGATTGCAACTTTGCTTCGAATTTCTTATGCAAAGCTGGTCGAATCCGTTGGAGGCCGGTTCATTCCTTAAAAATTCGTACAAATATCACAAGAGCATAATTATTCGCTCATATTAATTAAAAAAAAATTAGAAAGTCTAATAATATAAGGAATTAATAATTTCAGGTCCCCCTAACTTTGAAGGGAAAAAAAAAAATAATTTTAGGAGATAGCTGGAGTCTAATAATAAAAAGAAATAAAAAAATTAAAAAGTTTAATAATATAAATAAGTTATAATTTTAGGAGCCTAACTTTGGAAGAAGAAAAAAAATTTAGGGACCTTTCTATTGGCCAGTTTGTCACGCCCCAAATTTATAAGACGTAATAAATTATGATGTAAAAAGAAATTGGAACAGCAATCCTTGTTGGACCAAAATTATGTGCAGTGCCCAATCAAAAATTCGTATAAAATTCGATTTTAATTGAAACAAGGAAAACAAAAATGATTTGAAAACTAGACTCAAAGGGTAATGTGACACTACAATTCCCAACAACTTAAGCTTTGTCGATAAAATCAGTTTTTGGAAGGAAAATGGCTGTCTAAGAATGCTGAAAATAAAGTGTTTTTGAAAACTTCATTCATTTGAAAAATATCCGAAGCTAAGAAAATTCCAATAAATTTGTTTTTATAAAATAGACTTAGAGAAGTATAAAACTGAAAATTTTGATAAAGATCCGGTTTCAAGAAGTTGGTCAAATAATTCATGTAAAATCTAATTTCCAGCAGATGTAAAATTCGGACAGCTGGTATTCTTGAATTTTTAGAAAAATATCCACTAACCTATTTGTGGGCACCTATATTCCACTAAGACTAAAACTATTCTATATAAAAATAATAATAATAACAATGATATAAATAGCAAGTAGGATGAACAAAAGAATGCAGCTCATAAAGTATATAAATATATCTACATAAAATATATTTAAACGTAAGACAATTAAATCCTTTTTAAGCTTAAAGGGCCTAATTAAATTATAGAGTGTTACACAGTTAGAGTCTAAAAATAAAAAGAAATAAAAATTTTAAAAAGCCTAACCATATAAGAGAGTAATAATTTTAAAATTCTTCCTATTAGTGGCCCTGAATTACATGCTATCACAAAAGCATAAAATAAATAAATATATACAAGTTTTTAAAAATCAACAATGTTTACAATGTTTTTTAGAGTTATTTAATTCCTACAGATACGAAACATTAAAATGACTATAACAAGAAAACAAACAAACAAAGACTACGCTAGAGAAATAAACATGACTTGATCAATCAAAATGAGTGAAAATGAAAAGAGATTTCCATACAGTCCATAGTTGTCCTCAATCCTTGTATGCAATCTACTTCTTTCCATTGCGCTCTACAAAACTTCAAACAACAACAAGGGTTGTCAGTTAATGAAATTCATATGAAATTTACAAAATTAGACAGTGTGTATCATCACGCATTAGAAACTAGATGTACCTACCAGCTAACATAAATTCAAGGATGCTCCAGAAACAAAAACAAAAACTGTTTCATTGTACTAGCAAACTGTGCAAAAACATAAATGAGATCCATCATTATATGAAGAACAGACAGATTGACTAAACATATTGGTCCACTTTTATTATCTTTCAATTCTTTCTACCACTATTGATTATATTGAAGTTTCGTATAGAAAATGTTAAACTTCAACACCAATCGTAATGCATTGAGTGAACTACGCGCACAAAAATTGGAGCAACAAAAGTCATTGTAAACCAAATTGGTCACTATCAAATTGCAATCCTAAAAGATTCTACCCCAATGCCGTATATTGCACATAAGATTGAAATTTGATCACAACCTTTTCTAGTAAATACTAGAGATCTTTAGGGCCTTCTTGGTTCAGTTTATGAAAACTCAGTTATAAAAAAGACTCTTTTCAAATAACTGTCTTTTATAATTATTTGAATACAGTTTTATGTTTTTCGAGTTGTTAAACTGTTTACAGAGTTACAAATCAAGTAGGTCCATAATTTTTACCAATTAACTTTAATTATTGATGTTCTTTGTTAGTGTAATTCTTGTGTGATTGGCAAAATCTATTCCAAAGTGTGTTTGTTAGTCTTTGAATCAAACATCGCTTTGAGTATTGTTTTAGTAGCTCAATCCCACTGTGATTAGCAATTACTTAGAGAACTCAGGAGTTAGGTTGACAATTACTTTAGTCAAGATTTTCCTTGACCCAGGCATGGCATGACAATTGATAAATAAGTAGGCACAAAAACCTGTCTTATTAGCTCAATCCCACAATGACTGCCAAGATATAACTCAAATTTATAGAATTAAAACATAAATAATACTTAAAAGAGAATAAACTTTAAAAAAAAAAAATTTAGTACAGGAGAGAGTAAGGAAAAATGAACAAAAATTACTGTGCTGCTGCCAGGGGAACCAATATCTAATCCCACGACATGGCATTCCCTAAAGGATTATTGTGTCAATTGAATTTCAATTTCTTTGTAGAAATCAATTATAAGAAATGTGCCTCCAATAATGTCTGGGTACCAATTTTCTGATTTGATAATGGCGTAGCATGAGAGAAACAGGGCAGCTACATATATAAGCCCCATTTCCAAAAATTGAAGTGGCATCCTAAAACCTAATCCAGAGGCCCTTTCTTGTCATTAAGAATTTCATCATCCTTTCTAAAAAAACATTAGCATATCTAAAAGATCATTGTTTATATTGTCATTGATCAAGAATGTTATGAGAAGTAAATAGCATATAGATTTGATCATGTTATTCTCAACTCGAATCCAAATTCACAAGCCTAACTACAACATCTGTTCAAAGCAAGTACCATTCTACTTTTATCTTTGATGGATCAATCTTAAAAGTGCAATTAGTAAAAGCTGAAATTTAAACAAAACAGAGAGGAATGAGCAAGTGAAAATCAAAACCAAAATGATCTGCTCTTTAGCCTTCTTGGAAGGACCAATAGAAGAGGCAATTATGCAGTTATCAAGTCTTCAAAAAGTTCAGTTTGAGTCGCATAGTGATGATCATCTGAATGTTATTCTTGGAAGCTAGCTCACTATCAAACAATTTGATCCTGGAACCTAATACATTTACATTTGGTACTTTCCAGTGAGCGCAAAACCCTTTAGAGTTGAGCCATTATCTCGTAATCGATGTCGATCATCTTCAAAATTCAATTCCTTAACATGAACATTCAATCTTCTCAGCCAAACGGAGTGAACAATCATATGAAAAATGTCAAATCTCTTGGGCGGTCCATTGTGCACAAAATGCCTTTGCACTTGCTTCACCCTTGTGTGCATTGTCAAGTACTGAGCTTCAGATATGCCCATTGGTATCTTCTTTATATTGGGTATGTCATTCACTGGCACGGTGATGGAAAACGCATCCCAGTTCAGAACGTCGCTGAATGGCTCGACATAGCCTTCTGAAATCAGCACAGGAATGCATTCCGAGAAGATGGCTTCAACAATTCGTGGACTTGCAACTTCGTACCCACTGGGGCACAAGCAAAACCTGCTCTTTTTCAGCATTGCCTCGTAGGAAACTCTGGCTGGAACGGCTTTACATACGAGCACATCTTGATCTTTGCCTTCCCATTGCTCTAAAAGCAGGTGCCTAATATGGCCGTGTAGTCCACCAGCGAAGAAGGCGAGAATTGAACGTTGGGAAGGAGAGAGACCGCCAAGAAGCCCTGTCATTTCTCTGGTTTTGAGATTGACTTCAGGCAATGACACATCCTTAGAAGGACTGAATCCTTCAGAAGTGTTGGCATTGCAAAGAACTCTGATTGAGTTGTTGAATAGATTTGGTACATGAGAAGTTGTGCTTGGACCCTGAAAACCATGAAGCCAAAACATTAGCCACCAGGCCAAAACACTTACTTCCAAGTCTGAGAAATTAACCAAAACTCACCCAATCATGGCAAGAGAGCATGAAGTGGTCAGAGCCAAGGCTTCTATTCCAAAAGGGATGTTTGGTTGCAATAACGTTTATATAATCGGCAACAATATGACCACTGTCTTGGAATCCATAGTTACCGACCTCATAGAGGTACTGAACCATCATCACCACACTAAATGGAAGGAAGTATACGAAGGCGTCGTCAGGGTCTTTGGTTCTATATAAGTTCCCTTGTTCCATTTCACTAATGAACCTTCCCTCGGTGGAATATATACTCCCACACGGTCCATTGTGGAACAATGGAGGCTCTCCTTCTTCATAGACATGGATCTTAAAGAGTTTCTCCATTTCTAGATAGCTCCTACAATTTTCATACAAGACACACACACACACACACACACACACATATATATATATTCATTTAATACACAATTAAGAAAGAAAGAGTGTTGGAAACGGCATTAGAAAATGCAAACTTTGGAAGGATTTTTAAAAAGATTCCGCTAAAAAATTTTTGCGAATCTATTGACGAGCGCGTTCCTTTCTGCGAGGAGATGAACGTGGTATATTTATTTTCTCAAATTCGTTTCCGGGTGAATGAGAAATTGGCTCCAAAGTAAGTGATTTATAAAGCCTAAATGGGTGTGAATAAAGTGGGAAATGCTTGTCCCACATCGAAAAAGTAGCAAAGCAACTTTGAGTATATATATGTCTAGTATGGGATTTGGGTTTGGGCACAAGGGCACCCAAGTTTTTAAGAAGGGAGGACCTAGGCTAACCTAGATCCGAACCAACTACGCCCCAGGCGGGGCTTGATTGTGAAATAGGTTTAACTTTTTACCCAAAGTTTGGATGGGCCTATGTGGTTGTATTTTATTTTGTTGCTGGACTTATCAAAATGGGCCTGTTTACTGGGCTAAATTAATGGCCGAGTTGGATTATTTGCTTGCTGGACTGGACGAAATTAAAGGGCTGGGCTGGATCACAATTAAAAGGATTCAGTTTTAATTTTGAACCAAGAGTTGCACCCTTTACAAATTAAAAACCACCAACCAATTTTTAGTTTTGATTGGTCAACAATGGTTGCACCCATTCGGATTATGGGTGCACCCATTCAGAATAGGCACCAACAAGCCTATAAATACCCATCATTGGGTTCATTTCTAGGCACCAAAGCAACCTTGAGTATATATATGTCTAGTATGGGATTTGGGTTCGGGCCCAAGGGCACCCAAGTTTTTAAGAAGGGAGGACCTAGGCTAACCTAGATCCGAACCAACTACGCCCCAGGCGGGGCTTGATTGTGAAATAGGTTTAACTTTTTACCCAAAGTTGGGATGGGCCTATGTGGTTGTATTTTATTTTGTTGCTGGACTTATCAAAATGGGCCTGTTTACTGGACTAAATTAATGGCCGAGTTGGATTATTTGCTTGCTGGACTGGACGAAATTAAAGGGCTGGGCTGGATCATAATTAAAAGGATTCAGTTTTAATTTTGAACCAAGAGTTGCACCCTTTACAAATTAAAAACCACCAACAAATTTTTAGTTTTGATTGGTCAACAATGGTTGCACCCATTCGGATTATGGGTGCACCCATTCAGAATAGGCACCAACAAGCCTATAAATACCCATCATTGGGTTCATTTCAATTCACACCAATTCAGAAATCTTCTTCTCTTCTTCTGAATTTCTTCTTCTAATTCTTCTTTGTTCGGTTCAGCCACTGGTTTGAGTTCAACCTAAACTGGTTTAGATTGGGTTCGAACCTTGGTTTCCAAGTTTGGGTTCAATCTTGGTCTCTGAGTTAGGGTTCAATCCTGGTCTCCGAGTCTGAGTTCAACAGAGAGTGCTACACCGAGTCGGTTCGCCTATTCCATTGGTTTGAAGTGCTACTACCAAAGGAAGAAAAATCGTTGTATCTTGGGAGATAGACGCCGAAGAGTCCGTTAGCACCGTAGCGGGGCGTATCTGTCTTAAGGCTATAGAATTAAATTCTAGCCTCGACTTTATCAGGTTCTTTTATAGTTTTATTTTCTTGATATTAAACTATATAAATATATATATAGATTATTATAATAAATATTATATTTACAAATAATATTAAATGAATTATACTATAGTATATGATACATTATTTATTCAACAAAGAGTAGTTGAATTGAAATGGGTAATTTGTACCAATGAAAGGCATTGGGATTTCTGTAGATGAGGCCATTAGGGACATAGTCAGGGTCCTCATGGGTAGATGTGGTGTTGCCATTTTGGGCAGCTTCTTTAATGGAAGACCTGACTTTGGCCAAACTAGCTTCAACCCTCTCTAATCTTGTGTTTCTCTTAGCAACTCCTTTGGACACTGTAGCAGGGCTTTTGGTACTAAATGTCCCCTCTTCCTATTTATTAATTAACATAACAAAAAAAAAATTAAAAAAAAAAAAGTGATTAATTGGTATGCAAATGAGTAATGAAAGAACAACCAATTGTTGATTCATAACATAATATAATGTATGTACGTATGTATTCTTACCAATGGAGATTGCAGAGTTGAATCTTTGGACTGAAACGAGCCATTGAAAAAGGAAGAACCGAAAAGGGCTTCCAATGGAGAGAACAATAAAACCCAAGATCTGTCGGGACCTAGTGTATAGTTGAGTAAGGAGATGACAACAAAAGGGGTTACAAGTAAGATAACAAAAACTGAGACTGAGAATGATAATATGAAGTCTTCTACCTATACCAAGACATTTTTTGCCGATATAAAAAATTCAGAATAGGTAAATGTACAATATTTATTAGGCTTCGCATTACCCTCAAGTCTAAATCATATAGTAAGTATATACATATTTTACTTTATTCATTTAATAATAATATCAAGGGTTGAAGAAATTTTACTTTGATGGTAAAAAATCACAACAGATATAGAAAATTCAGAATGGTTAAATATTGTTGTACAATATCTATCACATTTCACACTACCCTTTACACTATGTTAAGACTCACCTAAAAAATGAATATATATATATATATATATACACACACACATTAAGTTTGATATTAGGCAGTTTAGTTAAACTGTGTTTTCATTGTTTTGTAAGAATCTTATTGATGTTTTTATACACTCAAATGTTTTGAAATCTCAAAACTGATTAAAAAAATAATTTTAGTATGAATAATGATAAGGAGATCAATGAATTAACCTTGAATAAGTATGATCTAACGTATTTTTATCTACTTCATCTACTTAAAAAGTTTTAAAAATAATTGTTTAACACGTGATAAGAATGACCAACCATGTCAAATTCGATATTAATTAGGTAATTCTTTTTCGATTTTCCTACCATTACACTTTTAGTATATACAAATAATCACATTTACAAATTATTCATAAGTTAGTCAAATAATCACGCAAAATAAATAATAATAACAATAATAATAAAGAAACCTGACGTTGGTGAGATGACTTCATATAAGTCCATTCATCATTTTTCCTTCTCAAGTAAATTTATTATAGTTTAACTAACAATAAACCGATATGTTATAAATATGTATATTTATATTGTTACGAGAATGACAGCCTTCTAGTGGTCAATCGTGTGATGCAATTGTTCTCAATTCTCCAATTAAACCATATATTATTAGAATATCTCAATTAGAAGTAAAAATAGTACCATTAACCAAAAAATAGAAAAATTAAGGATTTGTTTGGTATGCGTTATATTTTTTGTATTTATGTTTTTGTCAAGTGTTATAACAGTAAATAATAAATAAATAAAATATGTTTGGTAAAACTGTTTTGTTTTGCACAGTACCAAAATGTTTCGTGCACAGTGGCTAAAAATCGAAACTCCAATTTAATATTTTTTGCATGTTCTAAATAGATGAATTGTAAAAAATATAAATTAAAATTTTAAAATGCATTTTAAATTAACCATTATATCTTTAAAACTTTCAATATTTTTTTATCAAACATGTTTTAAAATTTTTATTTTAAAAAATCTTGCAATAAATAAATGTTACTAAGCTTTCGAATATTATTCAAAACACTTTATAATAAAATACTTATTTTATTTCAAATTAAAACAAAAATACAAAAAAACAAATCAAGTCCCAAACGGGTTCTAATAAAAAGGTCTGTTGTTTATTTTATATCATAAAGTTGAAGCAATATTTTCTTCGTTCAATGAATGGAAGAGAGAGAGAGAGAGTGTGTGTTTCACACTACGCGGAGAAGGACTGGAACCGTCGGCTTGACTTGTCCAAGACAACCAGTAAATTAGGTCATGAGTCGTTATTTATTAGTAAATAATATTAAGAGGAATCAACATCAACCCATGGGCCATACCCAGGACCCATGGTTGTTGTATTGGTCCAATATTCATATTTATTAGGACGAGGTCACAAATCATACTATATTGAAGTCTCATAATCTGATTTGATTTAAGATTTTTGACAATCAATACACGAAAATATATCTTAGAAAAAATCTGATTTAGGATTCTATCTTCAATACAATATTAACTCGGATTAAAATTTCTTCATGAGGCATCAATCAACAAGATTTTCATTACAATTTTATAAAAAAGGTAAGTAACATTATAAAGCATCCATTGTGAAACTCTAATTTAGAGGAATTGTAAGAAGAATGTGTGTATATCTAGGGTTTATTTGTTTAATGTGATATTTATGATTGGTAAACTCATTTTAATTTTTTGTGTTTAATATTTTTTAATCATATCAATTGAATCGTGTGTGCATTTAATGTTGTTTTGCGGTCGGGCTACCCTGTCTATTAGGATGGCACACTTGGGCTCCTTTCAGATCGGATACTTGGCGTGACACTGAATCAGGGATCTAGTCTAGCTCTAATACCAATTGTAATGGGTGAGTATTGTCAGCCGACCTAAAAACTTAAGGTATTAGTTGGGGCTAGCACTCAATCCATTTATACCCATTTCACTTCCATTCGGATCCGATGTAGTACAAGTCTTCCCTTGTAACAGAAACTCAGTCACTTTAATTATAAACCAAAATTTCTTCAATATTGCCCTATGTTTTATTTTCAAATCACCGTATTAGTTATTAAACTTTAGGGTTAATTTTACCAACACACCCTCAAGTTTGGCCAAATATTAATTTCAAATATCTTTCGAAAATAATTATCATTTAGGTCCATTTATATTTTTCCGTTAAAGTCTCCGTTAAAAATATGAAAAAAGACAACTTTGTCCCTAAGTTTTTAATCCTATTTATTTCAAAATATCAGTGACTTAAATGACCATTATACTCTTAGATATATATATATATATATATATATATATATATATATATATATATATATATATATAACAATAACAGCGGGACAGAGGTGTACACACAAAATTTGTAAGTATGCAAATAAAACAAAATATGGAGCAAATAGTAATTTATTAATTTGAAAAATTTGAGTACAATCCTCTACAATAATATTCTTTACAAATAAGACAGTCCTCTGATTCGATTTCCTTTAGTTGGTTGATCCAAGGGCTGCACGAGCTTATTCTTGAATCACCGTGGAATTTGATGAAGAACGGCACGTCATTAGATGTGCTTGTTGTTGATCACCGTGGAATTTGATGAAAAACGATACGATGTTCTTCGCTTTTGGGTTTGGATTCTGAATTTGTGTCTTCTAAGTCTCTGGATTTCCGGACTTCTGAATTCTGAATTTGTGTCTGAATTTCTGGACTTCTGAATTCTGACTTTGTATCTGAATTTCTGGACTTCTGAATTGTGTCATTTGTTGAATTTGAGGAAGAACGACACGTCTTTGGATGTGCTTGTTGTTCTTCGTTTTCAGAGAGGATTTGTTGAATTTGGTGAAGAACGGTACGACTTTGGATGTGCTTGGTGTTCTTCGCTTTCAGGTTTGCCCTCAGGACCTTCTGGATTTCTAGACTCTGAATTTGTGTCCCTTGAATTTCTAAATTTCTGGATTTTTGGACTTTGGATTTCTGTCCTCCTTCTCCCTTCCTCCAGGCCTCTATTTATAGACTTCTTGGATCCATAGGAAGATGACACGTGTCCTTTCTGATAAGGAAAATATCATAACTGGGCCGGGCCGGTTATATTATGATAATTATCCTTAAAAATAATTATTCCAAATATATTTTATTAGGAATAATTATCTTTCAATTTAATCATCTAAGCTGGGCTAATTAAATAATTTAAGTGGACCAAGCTTGGTCCAATTAAATAACTTAATTAAACATTAGGCCCATATTTAATGAGTCCATTTGTCAAAATTAAAGCCTACTAAAATTTTAATGTCTACAAATTGCCCCCACTTCAAGTCCCACGTATAACAGGACTTGTCTCCTTTTTCAAGTGGGACTTGAAGTATCCAACTTTCCTTTTTTTTATTTATTTTTTATTTTTTTTATTTTTATTGGATTTTTCACTTTCCAATTTATACAAATCCCTTGCCTATTTAAACTGTAATACCCCTCGATTCTAGAGCCACGGGTGATCAAGTCCGAGCACAGATCCGAGGGATATCAGACAATTAATATGTAAACAAGCAGAAATAAAACTGAATTAAGAACAAATTAATAATACGCTGAAAGAAATCTAACATAAGAATCCTCAAACTTGAAATAAATAAATTAATATGATTTAAAACCGTACAACTCGGGAATCCACCTAGTGGACCCCTAATCCCAAATCCTTAAATAAATTTACAGAATTAAAATCCAAAATTAAAAATAGAAAGGAAATCCTATGTAACCGGAAGAGTGAGTGTCTGTATCTGCATCAACACGATCCAGCTCTAAGATTGGTATTGTCGAACACCTGAAAAATAATAGAGTGGGTCAGGCCCACATGCAAGTCCTGATCTACTACGATCCAAACAGTAATCCGATACGCAGATACATCCTAGAAAGACTCAACAATATCTAGAGTAGTCCATATATGTATATATAGTACACACTATAGGACGCTCGCTAGTCCAGTAGGTCTGTCTCAGCCTGAATAGAAGGTAACATGCAAATACGCACCCTAAGGTGGGCATGAGTACCTAGACCTACCAGGGGATAACACCTATGTCCAGTTATCCATCCTAGGCGATTTATGCGCCCTAACCATGGTCCTGAGACTCAGGCTCATACCATGGCACATATAATAAATATATAAAGTCCGTACTCCTCCTAATATAGAATATCATCCATCTGTGTAGTGGTCTGATATCTGTATAATACATCCATCCTGAAACCATAGTAAATCATTCAATTCACAATTGATATGACACATGTAGGTGATGGACTTAACCTATATGGTTAATCCATACCTGAATCCAAATTAGGTCGGACTTAGTGTTTTGAACTAATCCATTCCCAATATAGGTAGGTCTTAGTGTTTTGAACTAAGCCATCCCTAATATGACACCGTCCCATACCGGTTCATATACATCCATATAAGTGGGACTTAATATTTTTATGGTTAATCCAACTCATTCCAAATTAGGTAGGACTTAGTGCTTGAACTAATCCTTACCTAGTATGTCACCGTCCCATATCGGTACATACAATCCTCCAGTTAACATAGTTGATAAATCAATATTAAATAACCATCAACCATTATCCATAATATGCACAAGACAAGTTAATTCATGTACATAAATATTAGACATTTAATGCAGAGCCCAAAATCCAACTCCAATAATGTAAATTGATACATAATTTACACACATTTACA